GTAGCAACCGGCAAAGTATTAACTTATTTGGATTCACATTGTGAATGCATGAATAGTATGCAAAATTATTGCTTCAATTATTTTTTGTTTTGTTTTGAATAATTTTTGAAATTGAAAATTTAAGATAAAGTTAAGTTGAATTTAATAAACTTATATCATTTACTTAGTTTTATATTTATTAATTCCATTTTTTCTTAATTACTTATCACATTTTTTTTACTTATTTTACTTATTGTTGCATATTTTAAGGATGGCTTGAACCACTGCTAGATCGAATAGCGCAAAATTCCACAAATGTTGTAACACCTGTAATTGATACAATTAATTTGGAAACATTACAATATCATTTATCAAGTCATCATCGATTAAGTGTTGGTGGATTTAATTGGGGTCTTGTTTTTAATTGGCATTTATTGCCTGATCGTGATTATCATGCGATGAAATCACGGATTGATCCGATACCGTTAGTTATTCTCGATGTTTTTATAATTTTCTTGATATAACTATTAAATGATACTAAATTAATTAATTTTTTTTTTTTTTTTTAAATGACACTATAATTTTTTCTTCATTGTAAAATTATTATCAGATCACCAACAATGGCTGGTGGATTGTTCTCGATCAATCGAGAATATTTTGAGAAACTTGGTGGTTACGATCCTGGTTTTGATATTTGGGGTAGTGAAAATCTTGAAATATCATTTAAAGTGAGAAAAATTTTTCTCTTTTAGGATTTTTTTTTCTTTATTACTAATCTCCAAATGGTTTGTTTTGTTGTTTTGAGTTTAAATTTACACTAAAATTTTCTATTTTTGTGCTAATTAAAGCAATAATAGCTTAAAGTGCGCTAATTACTAAAGTAAATGATTACTTTATCCAAATTTAAAATGGATTTTAAAAACATTCAAATAATCTAAAAATTTTTAAACATTTTATTTTAGATATGGATGTGTGGAGGACGTTTAGAAGTTGTACCATGTAGTCATGTTGGTCATATTTTTCGTAAAAAATCACCTTACAAGTGGAGAAGAGGTGTTAATGTACTACAAAGGAATAATATACGATTAGCAGAGGTATTTTTTCAATTTGTTAAAGTTATAATTAAATTATTGTCTGGCACTTTAGATATTAGAATTTGTAATATAATTTATAAATCTTTTTTTTTGATTGATTGATTGATTTACTTAAATTTTTAAAAATTTTTATCTGGAATTTTACTGAATTTAACTGCAATCAACTATTTACCGTTTTTTTTTTTTTTTTTTTTAAAAATTACAGTTGTAATTTAGTGATGATTATTGCAAGAAAAAAAAGGTAAAAAATACCAAATTTTTACTATTATTTAAAAAATTCACAATCACATTAAATTTTTTAACTTTAAAGAATTATTTAAGGTATGGTTAGATGAATATAAAGAAATTTATTACAATCGAATCAATCATAAGCTGGTACTTTTTTTTGCTGTTTTGTTTATTAGTAAAGTATAATAAAGTAAAGTATATTAACATACCTTGATCAAATGATCCTTTTATTTCTAAGTTTTTTTTTTTTTTGAAAAAGAATAACTCTAAATTTCATATGGAAAGAAATTAAATTTAATTAAATTTGTATACTTAGCAAAAAATGTAACAATGTTAATACTTTTACATAAAGCAATAAATGATAATAATTTTAAGATAGATTACGGTGATATATCAGAACGTAAAAAATTACGTGAACGTTTAAAGTGTCACTCATTTAAATGGTACTTGGATAATATATTTCCAGATTTATTTCTACCATCAGAAGCAATTGCTAGTGGTGAAGTATGATTTTATTTATTTTACTTAATATTTTCACTCTTCTTCTTCTTCTCTTAACTTTATTATTTATCATAAATTACACTTCGATGATAAATGTTCGAAAGAGGAAAAATTATGAGAAAAAATTGTTGAAGTACCACTGATTTTAATAATAATTTAATATTATATTTCTGCAGAATAAACAATAAATTAGTAAAGTAGCATTGAAAATAGTAAGATTTTTTTTTTTTTTTGGTAACATTAAACTTTATAAATGTGACAAATATGTAAAAAAGTATATATTTTTACTAAAAAAATTTTTTTTTCATTTAATTTTAAAATATAACTTTTAAGATTCGTAATCTTGGTAATCGAAAGTATTGCGTGGATCATGATGTTGGTCGAAATGTTGTAAATGATAGTGTTATACCATATCCATGTCATTTGCAAGGTGGTAACCAGGTATTTAATTTTTTTTCTTTTTTAAAAATGGAAAATTATATATTTTATGAATAAATATTTATAAAAGGAAGGTATAATTAATGATTACTTTGCATATAACATTCGTTTTTAGCAAAAAATTTAATCTCGTAAATGATCATTTCTAATTAACTTATCATCTAATTGAATAATTTATTTATATATAATTCTTTTCGTATAATTTTTATTAATGATTAAAATTTTCAAATTATTTTTTGATCAGTAATTATCATTTTAGTTTTGGATGTTAAGTAAAACTGGTGAAATACGACGGGATGAATTCTGCATTGATTATACGGGTCGTGGTTCACCGGTAACTTATGAATGTCATAATTCTAAAGGCAATCAACTTTGGGAATATAATCATGAGGTTTATTAATTTTCATTTTTTTTTTTTGAATTTAAATTCTATATAAAAATTAATTTAAATATAATATTAAAAAAATCTTACTTTTTTTTGAAGTTTTGGCAGTTTGTTGAAATTATTAGGCTTTATTTAATACTTCGATTAATGTAAGCTATGCTAATAAATAATGTATAAATTTATCTTATTTAATAAATTTTATTTTTTATTTTTTTTTTCTAGACTGGTCGAATATATCATCCAATATCACGTTATTGCTTAACATTAAGTGATGATGATAAGATGTTAGTGATGAGAGATTGTGATGATAAGAATGGAAGACAACGATGGAGGTTTCAACATTTCAATGAAACATTAGCTGCACAAGCAGCTTAACATTGAGTTAAAAATTATATAAATTAAAATTTTTAAATTATCTAATATTTTACAAAAATTCAGGAAATTTTTGTAAGAAAACAATTAAGTATAAATTTGGAAAAATAAAAGTTTTTTTCTTATTCATTAATAAATTCATTGCAAATTGTTATAATTTTTGAGAATTTCTATGATTATTATTATCACTTAAATTAATAAACTATAAAATAATATATTAATTTTCTTTTTTTTTTATTAATTCGAAAAATATGTCATATATATATATATATATATAAGTATCACTTATAGTGCATTAGTTTTATAAATGTTTACTTGTTGTATAATTTAACATTTATTTCATTTTTCACACTTTTCTTTTTTGTTCTAAACAGTGGCACAATTGTTTTTTTTTTCTTTTTTTTTTTTTTGTTAAAAAAAAAGAAAATTATAATATAATGGAAAAAGAAAGATGACAAAAGGTGACACTAAGTTGGATTAAATTATTATTATTATTTCTTATATGTTTTGTTGTATCTTTTTAAATTAATTAATAGTTTGTATGTATCATAAAAATATTGTATAAATTTTGCTGTGCAAATTTGAAATGTTTAATGTAAATTTTGCTTAAAATTAATTGAAAATTTGATAAAAAAATTTCTATTTTAATATATATTTTCCTTTTTTTATAAGTGTATTACTTTTTTTTTTGTCTTGTTTTTTTAGAATTTATTTTTTGATTTCAATCAAAATGTTAAAAGGAAATTTTTCATTACTTTTACATATCATTAATTTATGAAATTATGCTTTTTTTCTGAATTATTAATTGTCACACTATCAAAAAAAAAAAAAAATGACAAAGATTTTTCAATCATTTTTTTCTCTTTTTTTGAAGAATTTTCAACTAATTTTTTGTTTCTTCCATTAGCAATAATTTGTTATAAAAGGATAAATGATAGAATTGTTAACTCGCTCAGATACATAATTTTTTATAATTACTAAAGAATCGATGAATAAATTAATTTAATAAAATAAATAAATAATACCAAAAAGTATTTGTTATCAATATCTTTTTGCACAATGAAAATTAATTAGTGAGGTTAATTAATTAGTATATGCATTAGTATTCATTGTATACTTTTCTCTTTTTTTTTTAAAATAATATTATCATTAAATTTGTGTCTTTCCTGCCATAATATTTTTTTGTTTTTTTATTTAATTTAAAAATTGTTTTTTTCTTTTTTTGAATGGATTCATTTATATGTTTTATTTCCTGTGAATTGATTTATTCCATTTAAAATGCTTTCTTCGATCTCTTTTGAATAATTTTTTTTTAGTGATTTTAAAAATATTGAAAGCAAATTTTTCCATTTAAATACATTCTACTTATTTTCTTTTCTTTATTTAAAAAAAGTTATAATGAAAATGGATGAGAAAAAAAAACGAAAGAAACTCACAGGAAGAAGAAGAATAGCATATGATAGCCTTATTGAATGAAAATGACATTCCAATCGTTTTTTATTTTTATTTTTTATTTTCTTTTGCTCAAAATGATATCATAAATAATTTGCCGATACGTTGCATTTTGTGTTATTGCAAAAATATTTTCAATTTGATAAGGTAACAAATGGAAGAAAAACCTTTTAGAAAATAAAAAAAAAATGAAATTTTATAAAAGTTTTATCAAATCTAGCAAATTTTATCTTTCATTAAGACTGATAATTAAATTATTCTTCAATCATTTTTAATTTAAATGAAGCAATTTATCAAAATAGTGTAAATGCGAATGGAAAAATTACGCATTAGTGATCGATTATCACTATCAACGTGATTATACTACTATGCATTGGTTGGAATATGATAAGCCTGATAACAGCTATCACTGCATAATTGACTTATCTACCTACCTATCTACCTATCTACACAATCTACCTTGTCAAAAACACTATAAATAGCTCTTATTGTTCTTATTATTCATTAGATGGGGCGCTTTTGGTATCGATAGGTAGCGCGGTTAGGTAGTAATGGATTTCTTGGCTATGTTTGGAGCTTTCATTGTGCCTAATTAGTAAAATAGAAGTAATAGTATGGTCACATCTGTGAATGATAATTAAATTAATAAGTGATTAGGTAATTTGATATACAATTAAAGTAATTTAAAAAGATAAACTATGACTCAAAGTTAATTAGATTCTCTATGGTAATAATTTTAGAATGAAATTGATAAAATTTTCGTATTTTTTATGTTGTTAAAGCATGAATAATATAAAATGAATATTTATTGATAGTTTTATCAGTGAGAAAGATAATTTATACTGTTACTTACATTATCATAAATGATTTAAGCAAATTCTTTTTAATATCAAAGTGAAATATTTAGATTACATTAGATTAGATTAGGATCATTGTTATTAGAAGATCATTTAAAATGAGTCAAATAATAGATCAGAATGTTTTGATAGATCAAGATCAAAATGGATAATGTTTAGGGATAGAATTTCAGAGATTAATTGCTGAAATTTTTTCAGAACAAAATTTTGACACTCATTTAGCAAACAACAGCGACAGCGACACTGTGTTGTGTTTGTATGTGTTTATGCGGAAAAATCACTGAAAAAAAAAAATATGGTACTTACATTTTGGATTTTTGGAAGAACTGCTGGGAGAGATGGGGAGGGGTTTATACCTTTTTTCTATGAAAGAATTACGAGGTTTTTTTCTGGATAAACTATGAATTTTTTACAAATTACTTTTTTCAAAGTTTTTTTTTTGAAATTTTCAAATAATAATTTAAAAGTAATCTACAGCGTGAAGTAATCTCAGTTCATGTTGGACAAGCTGGTGTACAAATTGGTAATGCTGCCTGGGAATTATTTTGTTTGGAACATGGAATACAACCGGATGGAACAACATGCAAAATCCAGAATAAACAACATGCTGATAATTCATTTTCAACATTCTTCCTAGAAACCGGTACCGGACGACATGTACCACGAGCCATTTTAATTGATCTTGAACCATCTGTTATCGGTTGGTAATCACTGGATATTAGCATATCTTTTAAAAATTTTAATGATTGATTTTTAAAATTTTAAACATAATTCATCTTAAATTACGCTATAAAAATTTTTTATTTAATTTTTTTTTTTTTGTTTTAGATGAAATTCGAACAGGACCATATAAACGTTTATTTCATCCTGAACAAATGGTTACCGGTAAAGAAGATGCAGCAAATAATTATGCACGTGGACATTATACAGTTGGTAGAGAATTAATTGATGTTGTTCTGGATCGAATAAGACGACTTGCCGAAAATTGTACCGGTTTACAGGGTATATTTTTATTTTTAGATTAATTAATTTATTATAAAATAATTTTCATAAGTAAATAAATATATTATTTAATGGAAATTATAAATAAAAATTTAGAAAAAAAAATCTTTTTTTCAGGTTTTCTTATATTTCATTCATTTGGTGGTGGTACAGGTTCCGGTTTTACATCATTATTAATGGAACGATTAACAATTGATTATGATAAAAAAAGTAAATTGGAATTTTCAATCTATCCAGCACCACAAGTATCTACAGCTGTTGTCGAACCATATAATTCAATTTTAACCACACATACAACTTTGGAGCATTCTGATTGCTCATTTATGGTTGATAATGAAGCAATTTATGATATCTGTCGTCGTAATTTAGATGTAGAACGACCATCATATCTCAATCTTAATCGTTTAATTTCACAGGTATTTTTGATAAATTTAAATAAATAAGTATAATTTTATAGTAATTTTTTTCTTTTGAATTATTATCTTTATAAATAGTTAATTAATTAGAATAAAAATGAATTCATTTTTTTTCTTTTTTTTTGAATAAAAAAGAACTGTAAAAAAAAAAATTTGATATCATATTCACATACACAAAGATTAATTTATTTAATTACATAAAATGTATTATTTAATTTTATTTTTTTTCTCATACTTAATGAATATTTATTAATTGTACAATTTGTCGAACAAACAGAGAGAGAGAGAGAGAGAGAAAAAAAAGTGAATAATAGCATTTTTAGGTTGTTTCATCAATTACAGCTTCATTACGTTTTGATGGTGCATTAAATGTAGATTTGACAGAATTTCAAACAAATTTAGTACCATATCCACGTGTACATTTTCCATTAGCTACTTATGCTCCAATAATTTCTGCTGAAAAAGCTTATCATGAATCGTTATCTGTAATGGATATCACTAATTCATGCTTTGAACCAGCTAATCAAATGGTTAAAGTAAGTTATAAGTTAATTTTAATTAATTAAAAAAGAAAAATGAAGTATAACTTTTATGTTTGATAATGAATTACTAATTTTGTAGTGTGATCCACGTCTTGGAAAATACATGGCAGTTTGTCTTTTATATCGTGGTGATGTGACACCCAAAGATGTTAATGCAGCAATTAATAGTGTTAAAACAAAACGTACAATACAATTTGTTGATTGGTGTCCAACAGGTTTCAAAGTAATTTTAATAAATAAAATTTTATTTTTACTCATTTATTTCAATAACTGTGTTTGTTTGTTTGTTTGTTATGAGATATAATAAGTGTAAAGAATGATAATTTTAGGTAGGTATCAATTATCAACCACCAACAGTTGTACCAGGCGGTGATGTCGCAAAAGCACCACGCGCTGTAAGTATGCTAGCTAATACAACAGCTATTGCAGAAGCTTGGGCTAGACTTGACTATAAGTTTGATTTAATGTATGCAAAACGTGCCTTTGTACATTGGTACGTCGGAGAGGGTATGGAAGAAGGCGAATTCACGGAAGCACGTGAAGATTTGGCTGCTTTGGAAAGAGATTATGATGAGGTCAAAGATCATCTTATTTTTATAATTAGAAGAAATATAGAATGTAATTAATTTAGAGCACAAAATAATACAATTATTTTTGTAATCTCTATGCAAATGACTAATTATAGTGTTTGTTAAATTAGCATCAATAATGCTTCATTAAGAATGATTCATGCTAAATTAATAAGCATAAGTTAATATTTTAGTTACTTTAGCCTTTTTTTTTTGTTAGTACTATAATAATTACTTATGTTTATTTAATTTATAATGATTTCCATATAATTTTGTTGTTTAAAAAAATTTCTCTCATTTGTCAATCGTTTCATTTCTATATATATATTACAGATTGGCTTTGATAGTAATGATGATAATGATGGCGGAAATGCAGTGTATTGAAATGCTTTAACAAATTGTTTGAAATGATTGATTAGTATGAATTGAATAATTTCTGTTTCAAACTGTTCAACAATTCATGTATTTTCTTGCAAATTTATCTGTTGTAATAGAATAAAAGTTTAAGTTTTAAACTACAGTACTGCATTTTTAAGGATAAGTATCAGACTAGAATTACTTAAAACTGTTATCATAATAATAATTCAAACTTGATGTTATCAAACAATTGAAACTTGATGATATGAAATAATTTCAAAATTTAAGAGTAAAATTTTATGCTAGAATAAAGTTATCAAAATAATTTTGCTAACCACATCATGTATTATTAATTGTTAAATTTATGTATTATTAAAATTTTGAAGCTTTTGCAATAATTTCATTAAGTTATAATAGTTTTAAAATTGGCGCAAATAAAAAGATTGTCCTACGCCATTAAATCTAAGTACCATTTATAAGTTATTTGATCACAATCTAATTTGAATTATTTATCAGTTTAGTTAAGCAAATTATCATTTAAGCCATGATGGTTCAGATTTGGTGCAAATTTTTGAAATATTTAGCATATTAATTAACAAATTATGAAGTGCATCATCACAAGGTAAACATGCGTCCTTCTTAAACTTTTACCGCACATTGATTATTGCGCACATCAGAACAGGACATTATCATGATTAAGACACCTTCCCACGATTACGACAAATTCAATACTTATTATGATTAATATTAATGATGATTAAGACACTTTCTCATGAATACGACAAATTCAGTACTTATTATGATTAATAATTATCGTGATTATGACACTTTCACCACGATTGCGACAAATTCATATCCATTATGATTAATATTTATCACGATTAAGACACTAATTAACGATTAAATCAAATTTATTAGTTATTATAATTAAGATAGGAATTCTGGTGAAATCATTTATTGATCTGAGCGATTTAATTTCTTTAACTCTAATTAAGTTGTTTAGATGTATGCGACATGCGACATATAATAGCAGAAATGACATTGCGTTTTAATTATTTAAAAGTAAAAAATCATAGAAAGTGTTAAATAGAAATTTTTTTTTCTGCTCTAATTTGTTGATTTTTCTTGATGAATTGTTTAAAAAAAAAAAGAAAAGAAGCATTTGGAATTGGTAAACACACATATCTTTGACATTAAATAATTTAATTAATTAAAAATTATCAATGAAAGAAATATTAACATAATACAATATATGTTGATGGATATTAATTTAACATGAGAAATAATTAAATCAATTCATTAATAGTTTTGCTTTCAATTTTATTTTCTGTATTATTTTTTCAAGAGAAGAAAATGATTTGAAAATTACTGAACAATAATTGTTTGTTCAATATTTATTATGATTAAAGATACTTTTTGTAATACTTAATTCAATTAGCATAAGGAACAGAAGCAGCAATGATAAATACAACATTAAAATTCTCTTAATAGATAAGTAGATGAAATAAGTTTGTTTCAAGAAGACATCATTATCAGTACGAATTTAATATCAAAACATTATCAGTATGAATTTAATATCAAAACATTATCAGTATGAATTTAATATCAAAACATTATCAGTATGAATTTAATATCAAAACATTATCTGTATGTATTTAATATCAAAACATTATCAGTGTGAATTTAATATCAAAACATTATCAGTACGAATTTAATATCAAAACATTATCAGTATGAATTTAATATCAAAACATTATCAGTATGAATTTAATATCAAAACATTATCAGTATGAATTTAATATCAAAACATTATCAGTATGAATTTAATATCAAAACATTATCAGTATGAATTTAATATCAAAACATTATCAGTATGAATTTAATATCAAAACATTATCTGTATGTATTTAATATCAAAATTCACTTGGTAGATAAATAAATGAAATCAGTTTGTTTCAAGAAGATATCATTATCAGTACAAATTTCGTTCACCGGTATCTGAATTGATATTCCATCATAGAAGCTTTTAGATTGTATTAAATTCATAAATGTATTTTGACTTTTACATACTGAAAAACTATTGAATTCATTAATCGAATTATAGTATTCCGGAGAGAAGCATTCTATCTTATCAGACAAATTTTGACAAAAATGTTGTTTAACAATTGATGATTTTGATTTTTTAATTTGATCATAAGTTGGAGCTATTTTTGAATATAAAAATAGTATCAATATGATAAGTATGGTAAAGATAATTAATATTGGACAAAGAATGATAAGCGTTCGTTTTGCATCTTCCAATGTTATCTCTACAGTATCCTGAAATTCATTTTTTTTTTTTTAAATATATTACTTAAAGTTATTTTTTTAAGTCTATTTTATGTTTTGGAGGCTTTTTTTTCATTTATACACTTTTTAAAAAACAGTGAAACTTTTTAATTTAGAAACATTTAAAGTATTAAATAAGTTTATGCTAAATCAGCCAATGATTTGAAAAAGGAAAAAAAAATTTTCATTTTTCAGTTTTTTCGTGAAAAAAAATTACCAGCGATGAAATACTAATATTGTGTAGTTCATCCGGCGTGGCGCAAATAACATTATGAATGGATCGTAGGCGTAAAATATCCGGTAAGAATGATAATAATTTATGATCGCAATGAATTGGATTACCATTTAACTGTAATTCAGCCACCCTGAAATATTATCAAATTCTTAAGTATTATTTTTTCAGAAAACAGTAAAATTTAATCGCTAACTTATAACTCATGACAATTGCGCCATGAAATAAATCAACTTATGTTTGTTTTTTTTTCGAAACATATATGTTTACTTTGTTTATTTCTACTTACATTTATGTTAATATCAAATAAGCAAACAGTAAGTTACTCAATAGATTACTTACCTTTTCCAATCAAGTAAATTGGATGGGAAAGTTTTTAAAGCACAGAAGCTAATATCAAAGGTGTGTAAAGCATTGCTTACTTCAAAAGCGTTTTCATCAATGCATTCTAAGAGATAGCTATAACTTAGATTTAGCATTTCCAATGATGCTAATCCAGAAAATGCACCATTCTAAAATAAATTTATTTATGAATTTTAAAATTTAATTTCCATTCTTCCTTTTTTTTTTCTTTTGGCAATATAGCTAATTCCTTCGTCGAAAAAAAAAAACGAAAGACAAAAAAAGTTTTTTTCACATTTCAGATATTATCAATTTTGTTTATATTTGTGAATTTTCTTTTTTTTTTTTTTTTTTTTGAAAATGACCTGAATTTGTTTTAGATATCGTTGTTCGCTTAATTTGAGTTTTTTTAATCGAAATAATCCATCAAATGCTAATGCAGGTAAGAGAGAAAATTCATTTCTTGTTAAATCCAATTCCAGTATGGATGAAAGTTGTCGGAAGTTATATGGTTCAATTTTTTTAAGCTAAATTGATATAAAAATTAGAAAATAAATTTAGTTATGAAATTGATGAATGAATGCCAAAATTTTCTAAATAATATCAAAATAATAAAAATTAAAAAAAATTTTCTGTTCTATATACATATATTTTTTTTTACCTTATTAAAAGCAATGTTTAAATATTTCAGGTTTATAAGATTATTTTGACCAAAAATTGGAATTTCTTGCAAGAAATTTCCTGATAAATCAATTAAGCTTATCATATTTAATCCAAGAAATGTATCAGATGCAACCTGAAATTAGCCAATTTTGTTTTGTCAACAAATCATCATTTGCAATAGTAAACCAATGAATTATCATTCATACGAAATCTTCCACTAATTAGCTAATTAGCCATGAAAAATGAAAAATGCTAATTTATTTATCATTAATCATTTTCCATCTGTTGTGCTGTTATCATTGCTGCATTCACAATTCTTCATATCATATCTATTGATGGTTATCAAATGATAACACCTTGAATAATTATCATATTAAAGATATTAAGAGATCAGTTGGAAAATAATTATGTAAAATGAGCTGATAAAATATTCAGATCAAATATATTTCAGGCAGATCACTTCATCTCTTAATGAAATTTAAGGATTTGTCTTAATAATTTTATATAATAAACAAATATTATATAAAATATAAATTGGATTAATTTAACTGTTTTTTTTTTATAATTTAAATTTTTGTCTTACACTAAGAAATTTCAAATATTCATTGTGTAGAAGTTTTTTACTTTTTTTTTTCAAATCTGTTGAAACTAAACAAATTAATACAAACAAACAATATGAAATTTGAATATTGTATAAAATATTTTTTTTTAATATTAAATATAAAAACACAAATATTATATAAACATAATTCTTTTTTTTTTCAAAAAATACTTGTAATTTAGAAATGTAATTTATGAAATAACAAAATTATGGTAAATTCATACCGTTTTAATCATATTTTGGCTCAAATCAATAGCTCTTAAATTAGGCAATGTTTTGAATATGAAATCTTCCAGATAAATAATTTGATTTCCGGCAACTGATAATTTTTGTAGCTTTGTGAGATCAGTAAATTTTAGAAATGATAAATTTTGAAGTGCATTGTACGATAGGTTAAGTTCCAGCAATTCTGTTAAATGTTCGAAAGCATTTGACTCAATTGTTTGCAATTTACCGAAAGACAAATCGAGATACTGAAATTGTTGATAGAATGAAGAATTTAAAACTTTCAAAGTTTTAAAACTTTCCGAGTAATGAAAATATTTAATCTATTTAAGTGGTTAGTTTAAAAATGTGAAAATTTAGCCAAAAAACAAAAAGTTAAATAAGGAAATAAGTCGATTAGTGTGATTAAATATGATGAAAAATAATTGTTACAGAAAATGAAATGTTTTTTTTTTTTTTTTTTTAAATTGTTGATAAATTTTCTAAAACTTCACCTGCAATCGATGTAAACCACGGAAATTATTAGGGAATATAATCGAAAAATTATTATTGCTCAAATTTAAAAGTTCCATTTTGCTTTGATATCGAAAAATGTTTTTTTCAAACGTAGAAATATTATTATTAGACAAATCCAAA